GGGTGGGGGGGTGTGTTCACCGCCTCAGGCTGCCCGCCCGTGCCCGCCTTTGCCTTCCTCGCCGAGGGGCCTGCTCGTGCCGCGCTCCTGCGGGACCCGTACCGTGAGGAAGCCACGAAAAAGGGCTTTGTTCGGGCGTGCTTTGTTCGGGCGTTTCGTCGTTGTGGTTTTCGTGTGGGAAAGCGTGATCGAGCGCTGGACGGTGCTGCCGAGGGCTCGGCAGAAGCCTCCCGATAAAAACAATAAAGTCTTGACACGCTGAGATCAGAAATCCTGGCTGCAAGCCAGGCAGGGTCGTCTAATTTGGGAGTGGGATTTCTGAGGTGTTTGCGCTATCGAGTGTCAAATCAACGAGGTTACTTTATAGCTCCTCTGAGGCTTTAGCTCTCGGGTAGAAATGCTGCTTTTGGGAGGGCTTCAGTGGTTGCCACCCGTGATTGTCCCCTTGACACCTGCTTGGAGACATCTGCTGCTGCGCCGCGGACAGCTTGGCCGCTTGTGAGGCAGCGGCTGAACCAGCACAATTCCCAGGCTGGTAAATTACCCAAGTAGTCGCGGAGCTCCCACTTTGAAGATGGTAGTCTTGTAACTTGTGCTTGTTCAGCAGCTACCACAAAGCGTCTGATGCGCTGCTGGATCGGGAAGCGGTAGAAAGCCGGCGACCAGCTGTCACCACGCACGCGAAGCTCTGTTCGCCTGTCAGAAACTTCTGGTCCCTTTGTTACAAGAGCTAAAATAAATAGGCAAAGACCGTGACCTGCAAGCCAGTAGATTGTGCCTCGGACTTTAAAATGGTCTTGTCCATTCTGCCCTTTACCCCGACTTGGTGATGTAGGTGGGCATAATCAGTAAGCCTTGTATCTTACGATTTTGAATCATAAAATGGCAGAGGTGAAGCATGTTTTTATGACTTTTTGGTCAGACTGCCATTTACTGTGAGATAAAATGCGAGATAATCTGTAACAACACGCTTTCTAGGTTTTCTGCTCCTAAAATCCAACGCATTGAGATTTGTATCGCTTCCTAAAAAATGGCTGGTTTGCCACATTGATTCATGAGGAGGAAGTACTGGGCAATGACTGTCTCATATCCTTACTGTTTCAAATTACACCCCCCAAACCACCCCAGATAAGTATTATCAAGCCAAATTCTTGTCAACTATCTTTCCAGTTTTTCCAAATCCAACAATCTTCCTGAGATCACAGTATTTACAGATATTTTAAATCATTTGTGTTTACTAATGGGGGGCCCCAACTCAGAAGAGAGATGCCCAATTTAGAAAAAAAATCCTTAGCTAGGAAAGGCAGTCTATCATGTATTTAATCTTCTACATTTTATACATTCAAATGAAGCAAGTGAAATTGAAGTTCATGCTGGAATTTGCTCATATGTAAGAATTTATTATAATTTAAGCATATGTAAATATATGTAAGGTTCTGTGAATCAAGGTTGAGATTTGCCTCACTGGACTAACTGACAATTGCCAGAATTACACTAAATGAGTCACTTTCACATTTTCTGTGTTACATTTTGCTCTGTAGAGGGTTTGACTTTATCACATTTGCTGATGTATTATTTCTGCTGATGGCCCATTCACATCAGATACTCGTCTTAGTAGCTCCTTTACTCACATTTCTTACACATCTGCACATCCTTGATCTATGTTTTATAAATGGAATTTCATTTGTTCCGTGTAAGTCTGTCTGCTGATATCATCAGTTCTGGTCAAATTTATATATATCTGTGCAGCCAGATGCACAGATGGTATAAATCACCTCATCACCACTTCTGTCAATACAACAATACTGATTAACATTTTCTTATGAACAACATAACATGCACAGAAGTCCCTCCTTACTGTTATTTTCCATTTTGAAATAAGCCTGTTTCTTAGGGTTTTATTGTTTTTATAATATAGCAGTTTTTACAACAACCTTCTGTTCTGTTTTAATTAATGTGAAGAAATGCAGAGCAAATACCTGTTCTGGAGAGTTCCCTACTTCCCTCAAAATCTGATTCAAATCAGCTACAGTTGCATAATTTATCTCCAGTCTGCTTCTTTGGAGCAGTTATTATAGCGCTTCAATATAAAACATTTCCTAAATGCAACACTATTTTTTTGTCAATCTGCAATTTCTGGGAGGATTTATGTACGAAGTGAGTATCTCCTTGTTCTGTAGTTTTCTCAGCATGCTAAATTGATCTGCCCAAGTGGCTACTGCATCCTTATTTTTAGCATCCTGCCATTGCAGATCTGTACAAAG